GAGAAGGATTTAGAAAATTTGGACGATGTTTTGAACACTTATTTTGACTCTTTTACCAGACATTTGAAAAGTTTAGGGATTAGTGAACCGGAATTGTTGTACCCAAAAAGTGAATTTCTCAAAGATTGGAAGAAATTTTGCAAATTTGGAATTCTGATGAGCACACTTTTGATGAAAATTGTTTCGACTGACAAAGACGAAGTTATCGATATTGCAGAAGCTGCTGAAAAAGGAAAAGGCTTCACAGATTCTTTCAGAAATGAAATCAGAGACAAGGATAATTTTAAAAGGCGAATGAAGGCGATTATAGAGCATGTTGTTAAAAATGATTTGATTTAATTTTTAATTTAATCTGAAAAGTAAAATATAATTTATGTCTCAAAAATAAAAATAAATAGATAKTAAAAGTGTTTTTAAAACTAGAAATATTTTTTTCTGTTTCATTACTATTAATATAATTTACAATTATTAATAAATCACAATTAATTTAAAGTTTCACTCTTGTGCAACAATTTTCTTCATTTCTGTTAAATGATACTTCAGATTAATTTCTTAAAAAACATTTTTTTTAATCAATATCAAGACTAAAGTTTTCAGGATTTACATTGCCAAAAACGAAAAAAGCATGTATTCGATATGAAGCTGAAACCGGTCGTAAAACCGAAAATTTGAGCGATTTTTCCGTTTTTCAATTAATTCTAATTTATAAACAACATGTCAAAAAATGAAACGTTTTTTACGCATTTTACTTTATTTATTATTAAAATTATTTAAAAATAGTCCTTGATTATAAGCATATTTCACAAGATACACAACTCACATTTTTTTACCAATTATTCAGTTCACGAAAAATAAACTTTTCTTTCTTTAGTGTCAAATAAATAAATTTAGTATAAATTTCAGAATATAATGATTTGATTTAATTAGAAAAATAAAAATTGAAAACACTGAAGTCGTTTTTTGCTATTATTGTAATAATCAAAAACACAAAATTGTGATTTCTGGAAATAAAAACACGCAAAATATTTTTTATTATTATTGCCGTGCAAGGAGATAGTTTTGTAAAATCTTTCTTAATTGAAATTAAAGATAAAAATAACTTTAAAACACGAATAAAACCGATTATTGAGTTTGTTGTTAAAAATGATTTAATTTAATTAAAAAAATAAAAATAAAACACTTTGAAGTTGTTTTTTGTCCCAACCTCAAACAAAACAACATCAAAAACGCAAAATGTAATTTTTGGAGATAAAAACACTCAAAATATTTGAGGTTTAATTTTTTGGGGTTTAACATAATTTTAGTTTTGAAAATTATCAAAAAATTTATTTTTTAGTAAAGTGCTTTTTATGTGACGAATACGACCAAAAGTAATTTAAAAAAAGTTGTTTAGAATCAACTTTTAGGCCTTTATACCAAATTTCAACTATGATTTTTAATTTTTTTCCAAGATAATTGCTTTTTTTTTAACAGGAACGTCAAAAATTTGTTTATGTAAAACTAATAATCTAAATGTACATTTTTTTTATTCATAATGAAAGAACTGTCAAAAATAAAATTCTTTGATTTGTGAATTAATAAAGATAAAAAAAATAACAACATAAACAGACTAGTGGTTTAGTCAATTTTTTGTGTAGAGGTTTACTTTTAGTGCTTTGCAATATAATAGTAAGTAGTTTTGCTTAATTTTATTAAATTGAGAAAATATGCTTTAAAATTATTTTTTTTTATTTTGGGATAATTTTATTAATACTAATTGAATTTCCACCTTCTAAATTTCACAAAAATGCGTTGACAAATAACACAGATAAAAAGTCTTACGTGAGACACCCTGTATATTTAACACTAAAAATTGGTTTGTAACAATGACCACTTTAAAGTCATTTTTTTCTATTAATGTAATAATTAAAGAAGCAAAATGTGATTTCTGGAAATAAAAACACGCAAAATATTTATTATTTTTCAATCTTTATTACTACTATTATAATTTATAACAGTTAATAAATTATAATTGATTTAAATTTGTTACATCATGCAAAATATTGTGTTTCACTCTCGTGAAATAATTTTCTTCATTTCTGATATTAAAATTTAGACCTTCGAAAAACTTTTTTTCTTGATCTGCAATTTCCGTAAAATCTGGCACTTCCTCAGCGTTGCACTACGAAAATTTCAAAATAAAAGTCCCCAAGAGGAGACCATAGACTGAAAATTTCTTCCAGTGTTGTTTCAATTCTTTAAACGTGAAAATTTCGCTCGAATTACAATTAAATTCTTGAGAAAAGTTTGGTACATTAACATTAATTAAATCTGGTAATGTGCAAAATTACATGTATTTGAACATGAGTTGTGATATTTGGTGTGTTATCATTATCATTCTCCTTGATAATTGTATAAATATCTCGTTTTAAAAATTGTTTGTCAGTAAAATGGCAAACGTTGCGCTTGAAACTGAGATAAAATCGTGGCTGTCGCCAGCTTTAAAAAAGGAAAATGTGACCGATTTTTCCGTGAAAATTCAGGGAAATTCGGAAAAAGGTGATGGTTACATGGGCGACATAGTTTTCAT